TGAGGTAAAGAAGAATCCCAGAGTGTCAGCTAAAGACCTACAGAAATCTCTGGCACATGCTAACATTTTTGTTGACACATCTACAATAAGGAAAACATTAAACAAGAATGGAGTACATGGGAGGACACCACGGAGGAAGCCATTGCTGTCCAAAAAGAATATTGCAGCACGTTTGAAGTTTGCAAAAGAGCACCTGGATGTTCCACAGCACTACTGGCAAAATATACTGTGGGCAGATGAAACCAAGATTGAGTTGTTTGGGAAGAAACACACAACACTATGTGTGGAGAAAAAAAGGCACAGCACACCAACATCAAAACCTCATCCCCACTGTAAAACATGGCGGAGGGAGCATCATGGTTTGGGGCTGCTTTGCTGCCTCAATGCCTGGACAGATTGTTGTCATTGATGGGAAAATGAATTCCAGAGTTTATCAAGGCATTTTGCAGGAAAACGTACGACCATCTGTCCGCCAACTGAAGCTCCGCAGAGGATGGGTGATGCAACAGGGCAATGACCCAAAGCATACAAGTCATTCAACAAAACAATGGCTGCAACAGCACAGAATACGCCTTCTGGAGTGGCCCAGTCAGAGTCCTGACCTCAACCCGATTGAAATGCTGTGGCATGACCTTAAGAGAGCGATTCACACCAGACATCCCAAGAATACTGCTACACTGAAACAGTTTTGTGAAGAGGAGTGGTCCAAAATGACTCCAGATCGTTGTGCAGGTCTGATCTGCAACTACAGGAAACGTTTGGTTGAGGGTATTGCTGCCAAAGGAGGGTCAACCAGTTATTAAGTCCAAAGGTTCACATACTTTTTCCTCCCTGCACTGTGAATGTTTACATGTTATGTGCAATTAAACCATGGCAACATCTAATGTTTGTGTAGTATTATGTTCAGCAGACTGTGTTCTTCTATTGTTGTGACTTAGATGACGTTCAGAGCACATTTTATGCCCAATTCATGCAAAACTCCACCTAATCCCAAGGGGTTCACATACTTTTTCTTGCAACTGTAATATATAACAACAACATCAATCTTTATCTAGAAATGCACTCACAGCCTTTTCTTTCATTCACATATCAACCTGAGGACTTATCCATTCAGATCCACTGATAAAGGCTACCACAATATCACCTTGAACCCTGCAGTCTGTTTAGATTTATTATAAAAATCATGACCACAAGTACTATTGTACGCATAGATAATTGATATGTTTCAGACACCTCCTGTGTCTATCCTCTGAAAACAAGTAATCTATATGTTTGTTAAATCTGCATGTTTTTTTGTGAAGATATAATCAGTGGTTACTTTGAATATCTGAAAAATCACAGTACACAGTGCTGAGCAAAAGGTAAGGCGATTGCTAAAGCTACAGGTGGTATTATTATTTGTAAAGATATTGGTTACTTTGTGAATATAAGCAAGAAAATGTGCATGAACAAAGCTGTGTAAAGGATAGTAGGGATTATCACTAAAGCCACAAATGTTTGGTGTATCTGCATATAGGAGTAAAGCATCGACAGAGTATTGCAGCAATTGCATCAATCCCTAGGGGTGTGCACTGTCATGTACAAATTACATTGGTATGTATTTCCTTTTGAAAATAGCTTGATTTTTAGCCTCGAAAATTGGCAGAAATTACTATCAAGATTCACCCCCAAAAAAACTTTAATGGGGTTCACAGATTTCAAGCAGAATGGAAATACTCCCATTAATTGAACCCAAGCAAATTTGATCATCCCCAATTGTTGCCATACATTTTGCCTCACACTGAGTGTTCTGACCTAGATCACTACTATTAAAGAGGATGCACATCCTGAAATGCTTGTTGGGGCATTACAGTGGCTAAATGGTTAGCATTTCCACCTGGCAGCACTAGGGTCGAATCCCAACCATGGCACCACCTGCCTGGAGTTTGCATGCTCTCCCTGTGGCTGTGTGGGTTTCCTCCCACGCTCCAAAGACATTCTTAGCTCCTATCTAAAATGGCCCTAGTATGTGTATGTATGAATGTAAATTAGGGACCTTAGATTGTACACTTTTTGAAGGTTGGAGGCTAATGTGAATGTTTATATATATATATATATATATATATATATATATGTAAAGCGCTGTGTAAATTGACAGTGTTTATATAAGTACCTTTAATAAATAATAAAAATAAATATAAGACAATAATTCATAACCCCACTGCTGCCATACTTGGGATACACTCACCACTTTAATAAAAGTACTGTCATCTGGTCACTTTTAAGCACTGCCATTTTGTTTTTACAGTGTCATAGCTAGTACAGATAGCCAAACTACTATATTAAATGTATTGAGCATGTATTTTCTCTACAGAAGGATGTTGAATGACTATTTTTACATAACGTAGTGTGTTATTAAGCAATAATCTGACCTACAGCCTTTTCACACTTTTCAGGAATCATTTTTAAAGAGAGCAGACTACTAATCTTTAGGGATGAGCTCAGTGTTCAGTCCGAACATTCAGAATGGATCAATATGACAGCTTTGGCTTCCAATGGTTGCTAAGGAAGTAGAGGGTGCTTGCACCCACCACATCCTCACCAAACACTGACATCACCCATACATTCACTTGCATGGTCTAGACTCCCTGGCTATTTAATCAAATGGACAGGGAATGTAGCAGTTACATAATTGCTTAAATATAGCCACATGACCATATTCAGATAATAATATTGTCCAAATATTTCCATGACCATATTTGGGCAATGATGTACAACCCTACCCCATCTTTATATAGCTGATAACAGCTCAGGGAGCTGTCATTTGGCTTTGTGTAGCATCAGGATCTGTCATGTGCTGCAAGTCTTCTTTCATTCATTGAAGCAGTGAACATCTTGATTGTTGATGGATTTACAATGAGGGCCTTTTTTTTTTAAAACAAAGGACTTGCCAGATGTTTGGGTGTCTTTATTTCTAGGTGACATTTTTTTGTGAAATAATAAGGGCACTATATACCCCACACTCATTCATGATGGGGGGTATCTGGAAGTCCCCTTATTATTAAAAAGACTTTAAGATTCTAATAAGCCCCCTGCCTACAGACCCCTACAACTACCAGTCAGGGTTGTGGGGAAGATACCCTTGTCTGCATCAACATGGGAACAAAGTGCTTTACCAGGGAGAATCCCCATGTTGAGAGCAAGTGGCCTGGTGTGATTTGCAGGCTGGCATGCTTATCCTCCCTTTGTTCTTGGCCAGCCAAGCTGCATGCTAGCATTAATGGTCCGGTATGGATTTTTAGGGGGCTTCACACATTTGTTTGTTCATTTACATGGAGTCCCCCTTAAAACCTCCCTTAAAAAAGCAACAGTGATATTTACAAAGAAAACACATGACATAGTTTAAATTGCTGCAAACAACTTAATTCCTGACTCACTAACAGGCCCTTGATGGTTTGCTTTGTATTTTTGGGGGACATTTGGGGTTTGTGTGTTACTATTTCCTTTCTTTTTTCCTTTATAAATGTCAGCGCTTTAAAGAATCATCTGGGTGGATTCACAGCCAAAATTCTCCTTACAGCTATAATTGAGGAAACATAGGAAAAGTTTATGATACTACTGCACAATAGCACCATTTGCATCTTAGCATACATGATGTTCATCAAAGTAGGCATACTAACAATAGCATACATTGTTAGTATTTGTACATTCTCTATTATTTCTTCTTCATATATATTATCTAAAAACACAGAATGCACACAAACACGAAACTTATGTATAAATTGTAATTTAATAAAACATACTTGTACTATATTATTATATTTTATGAATTTGTATGTTTGCATAGTGATGCCAATTAGCGAAACAAAAAAGAATGAATATCCTACCAAAGAGATCTTTGTTACTTTGCACACTGTGAGAGCATTTAACTTACTGAACATTTTATAAGCCTTAAAATCCCTGTGTAACTAAATAAGTTGCAAAATCATAATATTTTTCAGTACATTTTCTTTCAAAGCAAACATCTGTATAAATCAAATTATAGCCATTGATATGCTACATTTCATACACAGTTATGAAAAGAGCAGTTCTTGAGCATGTTGAACCAGGTCTCTTCACAGAATATTAATTTGATATCAGTGTTAACAGCAGAATTGCATAGGTCACACTTCATTACTAAAAGACCATGGAGGCCTTCTCTCTGTAAATCTCTTTGACTTGTTCTTGTCTTACGACACAAAAGCCCTATTTGTACACATATAAGTATGAATTTAAATACATAGAAAAAGAAAACATCATAGGCAGTCCTGAAAAAGCAAAAACCTCTTCTCTTAGGGTAACATCATTTATAATCATAAATCAAGCTGAAGCCAAGCTTATTTACTTCTTTCCTAAACTGGATCTGAGGGGAAATGGAAACTAACTGTGGTGTTATAAAAATAGAATTTTCTTACTGCTGTTTCTAAGAAGAACAAAGCTTCAATTAATCAAATGACTTGCAGTGGATTTGACATTTATTTGTAGAAGATTGCAGAGTAACGCTGGCCATGCTTATTAGACTAAGTATGAGTAAACTGTGATCTGTAGTTCATGAGGATTGTTTGATCTGGCATTAGAATAAAGCTGGGAGGGCATAACAGGGATAGTTGTTACCCAACAAGTTGTCAGTCTTGCAATCTTTAAGCACTTGCCTATCGGGCACTTATACACCCCTTCCTGCCCAAGCCAATTTTCAGCTTTCAGTGCTGTTGCACTTTAAATGACAATTGCGAGGTCATACAACACTGCACCCATATGAAATTTTTATCATTTTTTTTTCACACAAATAGAGCTTTCTTTTGGTGGTATGTACTCACCGCTGAGTGATATTTTTGTGTGTGCTATAAACAAAAAAAGAGCACAAATTTTGAAAAAAAAAAGTTTTTCTTTGTTTCTATTATAAAATTTTTCTCCTTCACTGATGTGCGTTGGTGAGGCTGCACTGATAGGCAGCACCGATAGGCACTGATAGGCAGCACTGATAGGCACTGATAGGTGGCACTGATGAGGTGGTACTGATAGGCAGCACTGATGAGCTGGCACTGATATTTAACAATGATGGGCACTGATAGGTGGCACTGATGAGCCGGCACTGATATGTAACAATGATGGTGGAACTGATGAGCACTGATGGGCACTGATTGCAATACTGATAGGTGGAACTGATGAGTGGCACTGATATGCAACTGACTGGCGGCACTGATGGGTGGCACTGCTGGGGCACTGCTGGCGGCACTGATGGGTGGCACTGCTGGGTGCACACTGCTGGGGGCACGGCTGGGTGGCACTGCTGGGCACAGGTGGGTGGTACTGCTGGGCACTGATCATCAAGTGCACTGATCATCAGTGCCCTGATGATCGGTGCCGATCCGTCCTCTGACAATTGCCGGTTATTGGCAGTACTTTCCTCAGGCTGTTACAGCGTGAGGAAAGTGCAGCCGGTAATCGGCAACTGCCCACAATCCGGTGATCTGCTTTGTCATTGGATACGGCTAATCACGTGGTAAAAGGCCGCTGTGATTGGCCTTTTACCACATCACGTGATCAGCTGTGTCCGTAGGGCAGCAGCTACAGTTTTTGTAGCTGCTGACTTTTATTTTTTGTAGGGTTGACTGGAGCTCCACTTTAAGTTTTTTTTTTTTCGAAATTTGTAGAACACCAAATTTATAATCATTTTATTTGCTCCAATATTGGATGTTTCATATCATTTCTTCCCATATATCACCTATAGAACAGACAACATAATGTTGATGGAAAGAATTTTTCACACACTTTATGACACTATGGGTTGGGTTATACTAAAACTGGAGAGTACAAAACAGGGGCAGGCTGACAAGTCTTGGGGCCCCCAGGCAATAGGGGATCATGGGGCCCCTGTGTCCTTGCCCAAACTCAAAAAAGCCTATGAAAATGGCACCAGGGGTATCTCATGGGGCCCCCTACTGACCCCAGGCCCTCAGGCAGTGCCCGAGTTTCCAAATGGTCAGTCCGCCCCTGGTACAAAATCTGGTGGAGCTCTGCATGGAAACCAATCAGCTTCCAGTTTATTTTCTCAAAGCTTAATTGAACAAGCTGAAGTTAAAAGCTGATTGGCTTTTAGTAAATCAACAGATAAATGGTATCTATGGTCTTCTAACAGACATGTGACAGACAGACTGATTCTGTATACTACCATTATTAAGGCTTTATTTGTCTTTCCTCTTTTGTTGTTGATATAATCACAAAGGTACATATACACAAGGTTTATAATGTGAGCTTTCTGATTGTATTACCTCTCTATCAAAAGTGTAGTTTTTCTATACCAGTAAAGAGTGATATGTCCGGGATGCCAATTTTATGATACTTTTTTTTGTATGTCTACACTGTACCTTTTGTGTGCTGCTATTGAAATGAACACTTCATAAACAAAATAAAATATCATTGGGTTATGACTGTGAGGCTCTATAATGAATCTTTTAGGAAGAGCAATCAAAGCAACAATCTAGTGAAGTAAAATTCTAACTAATGTGAATAGAGCATCTCAAATAAATTTATATAATAGAAATAAGCATTAAAAAAACATTTAAACTTTGATTAAAATATAGACTGTGGTTAGGATAAGTATACCTCCACACTCATAAAGGCTGAGAACTGACAACAGCTAGTGTCAAAGAGAAGTATTACTCCCAAATTGAATGACTCTTCTCTACCCCCCTACAAAGATGCCCACCCAATAATGTTACAGTGCCCCCCACTCTGGCCCGTGTCAGGTACCAGTTTTCCATCTTGATTCATTTTTGCTTGACTTTGGAGCATGTTGTAATTGTTAAAACAATGCATAATGTTTCATTGCAATTTAAATGTGCTACAACTGCTAGTACCAGACAGTATGGCTGCTTTTATTAAGTTAGTGAGGTCAGAAAGGTCAGAAAGTGAAAAAAATCATGAAAATTATTTGTTTTATGCCAAACCAATGAAAAAAAATTTAAACCAAAACTAGATCTATTTAATTCTATCTTTCATTAATATCTATGTTAAATTGTTTGTCATGTAAAGGAAAAGAAAGCTACACACAAGCCCTCATGCAGACATCAGACTTAATTCATTATAATAGAAGGAAAATTATATTTTTATTACTGTTTGTTATTTCCTATTTATTTTTTAATTTAAAAAGGTATTTTCAAATAAGCAAAGGCCTTATTGCATTGATCAGTTGAACTTACCACTTGCATATTAAAATAATGATTGTTGGGGATATTTTGTATTTAACTGCTTGCCCCCCACCCTATAGCAGAAGTACTGCTACAGCAGTGGTTCTCAACCTTTCTAACGCCGCGACCCCTTAATACAGTTCCTCATGTTGTGGTGACCCCCAACCATAAAATTATTTTCGTTGCTACTTCAGAACTGTAATTTTGCAGTGGGAGGAATAGTGCCCCATCATTGGTATCAGTGGGAGGACTAGCGCCCCATCATTGTATCAGTGGGAGGAATAGTGTCCCATCGTTGGTATCAGTGGGAGGAATAGTGCCCCATCACTAATGTCAGTGGGAGGAATAGTGTCCATCGTTGGTATCAGTGGGAGGAATAGTGTCCCGCCATTGGTGTCAGTGGGAGGAATAGTGCCCCATCATTGGTATCAGTGGGAGGAATAGTGCCCCATCATTGGTATCAGTGGGAGGACTAGCGCCCCATCACTGATGTCAGTGGGAGGAATAGTGTCCCATCGTTGGTATCAGTGGGAGGAATAGTGCCCCATCGTTGGTGTCAGTGGGAGGAATAGTGCCCCATCATTGGTATCAGTGGGAGGGAATAGTGCCCCATCATTGGTGTCAGTGGGAGGAATAGTGCCCCATCATTGGTGTCAGTGGGGGGAATAGTGCTCCATCATTGGTGTCAGTGGGAGGAATAGTGTCCCATCATTGGTGTCAGTGGGAGGAATAGTGCCCCATCATTGGTATCAGTGGGAGGAATAGTGTCCCATCATTGGTGTCAGTGGGAGGAATAGTGTCCCATCATTGGTGTCAGTGGGAGGAATAGTGCCCCATCATTGGTGTCAGTGGGAGGAATAGTGCCCCATCATTGGTGTCAGTGGGAGGAATAGTGCCCATCATTGGTGTCAGTGGGAGGAATAGTGCCCCATCATTGGTGTCAGTGGGAGGAATAGTGCCCCATCATTGGTATCAGTGGGAGGAATAGTGCCCCATCATTGGTGTCAGTGGGAGGAATAGTGCCCCATCATTGGTATCAGTGGGAGGAATAGTGCCTCATCATTGGTATCAGTGGGAGGAATAGTGCCCCATCATTGGTGTCAGTGGGAGGAATAGTGCCTATCATTGGTGTCAGTGGGGGGAGGAATAGTGCCCCATCGTTGGTGTCAGTGGGGGGAGGAATAGTGCCTATCATTGGTGTCAGTGGGGGGAGGAATAGTGCCCCATCGTTGGTGTCAGTGGGGGGAGGAATAGTGCCCCATCGTTGGTGTCAGTGGGGGGAGGAATAGTGCCCCATCGTTGGTGTCAGTGGGGGGAGGAATAGTGCCCCATCGTTGGTGTCAGTGGGGGGAGGAATAGTGCCCCATCGTTGGTGTCAGTGGGAGGAATAGTGCCCCATCGTTGGTGTCAGTGGGAGGAATAGTGCCCCATCGTTGGTGTCAGTGGGGGGAGGAATAGTGCCTATCATTGGTGTCAGTGGGGGGAGGAATAGTGCCCCATCGTTGGTGTCAGTGGGGGGAGGAATAGTGCCCCATCGTTGGTATTAGTGACACAAATGATGGGGCACTATTCCTCCCACTGACACCAATGATACTTACCTTGCTGACCCCTGCTCCAGCCTGGGCTCGCTCTCTCCCTCTCCCATCTACAGCCTGCAGAAGCAAAATTTGCACTTACCTGTCAGCTGTCTTCCTTCTCTGGCCTCCCTCTTCACTCGGTCCTGCAGCTCCCTCGATCTTCTTCGATCTGCGCGCTCTGCCGCTCGGCTCCTCCTCTCCAAGCTCCACCTCCTCGCCGGTGATTGGCCGCCTGTGTGCCTCTCCTGAGCTACAGTTCCGGTGGCCAATCAGCGGCGAGGAGGCGGAGCTGTTGAGTGATCCCAGAGGTGTGGCCAGGTTACAGGGGCAGCATATCATCCCGCCCACAGATCGCGAGACAGAGCAGCGGTGTCTCGGTTCCTAAGACCATCGGAAATATGTTTTCCGATGGTCTTAGGCGACCCCTGGGAAATGGTCGTTCGACCCCCAAAGGGGTCGTGACCCCCAGGTTGAGAACCGCTGTGCTACAGGGTGGCAGAGCTGCACAAAATTACGCTATATATGTGATTTGCATTTCTGGGTAGCGGGGAGTGCGCCCTACCCGCACTGCCATTGGTGGCTAGGGATGTCAATCACTGAATTCCGGCCAAAGATTCCCTGCTGGCAACCAGGGATCATCAGGGAAAGCTGACAGGGCGGAGACCTGTGTGTAAACAACACAGGTCTCTCTCCTGTCAGCAAGGACATGCTGTGTTGTATCTCTCTGCAAAGCAGAGGGATACAAAGCAGCATGTCTACATAGTAAAACACACACAGCCAAAACACACACAGCACACAGTTAACCCTTTGATCGCTCCAGATGTTAACCCCTACCTGCCCAGTATCATTGGTACAGTGTCAGTGCTTTTTATTAGCACTGATCACTGTATTAGCATCACTGGGGATGTCAGTGACAGTTAGTCAGTTCCCACCCAGTCCCGCAGTCCCGCTATAAGTCACTGGCTGCCCCCATTACTAGTATAAAAAAAATAAAGTAAAAATTCCAGTGTAAACGCTATAACTTTCACATAAACCAATTGAATTAAATTACACAGATTGTTTTTTTTTTTTAGCAAAGACGTAGAAGGATATATTTTGGCCTAAGTTTATGTTGAAATTTGATTTTTAAAATGTTTTAATTGGATATGTTTTATAGCAAAAAAGTAAAAAATATAATTTATTTCAAAATTGTCAGTCTGTTTTTGTTTATAGCACAAAAAATAAAAAACACAGAGGTGATCAAATAACACCAAAAGAAAGCTCTATTTGTGGGGAAAAATTACTTAAATTTCATTTATGTACAGCATTGCATGACCGCCCAATTATCAATTAAAGTAAAGCAGTGACGTATTGCAAAAAATGACCTGGTCAGGAAGGGGGGTAAATCCTCTGGAGGGCAAGTGGTTAAAAGTCCATTCATAGAGGCTATTGCAGAAATCCAGACATATGTACCATACAGTACAATCCAGTGATTTATTTATTAAAAACATTAAATGGTATTTTATATACAGCCACCAAAGTTACCTGTTATTGTATTATTTTAGCTTTATATAATTCCTTGCTCAGCAGCACTCAGGCTGGGAAAGGGGGATCAAGCAGTGTCAGCCAATAAGATTCTACTACAGGTCACAGTCCTGTTCACAATGACAGGAAGCGATGACCTGCTTATAGCTACCTGTGTCATCTGTCACTGGTGCCTGGATAGCAAGAGTGGCTGAGCAAAATCATGAGTCCTTTTGTATTTATTTAGTAGTGTATCAGGTCTTCAGCTTTGAAAAACATACTGATCAATAAGAAATAGTAGTGGAGGTTTAAGAACTATTGTTACATATTACATGTGAGAATATAAGAATTCTAAACTATTGTAAGTACACAAAAGAGTTGATCTACTAAAGTTAAAACCACTGTTCGAGGGGACACGGCCTGCCGCATGGAGGCGTAGGACGCTGAGATTCGCTGCTTCAGCTCTGACCGGCTCTATCACGGTGCACAGTGCAATACTCCGGAATCCTTCTGAGCACACATGGGCAAGTGCAGCTGCAGTGAGGGTCGCCGACCTAGAGGACCCCCTCAAGGAAGTGAAATCAGCTGCTTTTTCACTAGATCCAGCTCACATTGCCAGGGTTCCCCATCCTTCAAGATGGCGTGGACCCGCTCCTCCAGCCACCATGCAGCCTCACAGGTGAATACCGGACACCGCACACACTCACCTCTGGAGTCAATTATTTGCT